TTATTCTGAACATACGTCGAACGCGTCTTGAGCGGTGATTATGAATTGAGCATTTACTGAGACATGGCACACCTAGTCATTCAAACTGAGCTATTCTTGATTCCTGCCTCTTCAACTCACCTTGTCTCTCTCTGGATCAAATGCTGGATCTCCAAGCCGACTTCGCCATGCATAACTGAACTTGGAAGTTCCAATGATACGATGATACGTCAATACTGAGGAATTCTCGTCATTACTGAAGTGATTCGATACGGAAACTTTTGGCATTTTGGAAAACTGGTCGCTGAGAGTATGTCGAACCCGGTATTTGGCATCGAAGAACTTAAGTGTTTTGCAAATAATCCTTTCTCGGCTCTTAACCTCGTTTAAGGAAACACTAGGTTAAGCATCCATCTTTTAAAATGTTCAAGATTAATGCTAAAACAGCACCGCTTGTGGGGGGTGGGGTGAGGTACATATTCATGCCCGCGAGTTCACCCTTATATGGCTTTCTGCTGATCGACTTGTATTTCCNAAAATGTTCAAGATTAATGCTAAAACAGCACCGCTTGTGGGGGGTGGGGTGAGGTACATATTCATGCCCGCGAGTTCACCCTTATATGGCTTTCTGCTGATCGACTTGTATTTCCTCAGATCTTCCAGAGTCACGGTCTCATTGACTATTCGTCTTCCGCGATATTATTGGCCAGCAGTCCACTGTAAAACGATTCGGGATCGTTTTGCACTTGTTCCAGGGTCTTTGCATACTTTTCGTTCTTGATTTTGTCTCCTTTTTTACGAAGCTTTTTGTTTTTATCCAGAAACAGTTCGCTGAAATCATATTAAAATAACAACACAAAATTATGGCTTTACCAGGCCAAAGCTCGAGAGTACGAAGTAAGACAAAGAATCTTCACACACGTGACCAACTCGTGACATTTACTAAGAGTATGTTTAGATTTGTCGCGTGCTTTATTTTTGACATGTATTGGAAAGGCGTTCAACTGTCTTGTTTCATTGACACCAACTTTGCACTTTGCAAAAAAGAACAATTGGCTCTGAACTAAGTCGATATGTGACGAAAGCAAAAAAGATTTCATATAACTATATGATTATGAATGAACTGACCTGAATCCTGGATCATTTCTGATGTCCTGTTCGATTCCTTTAGTCGTTTTCAGAGCATCGTCCACAGCTTCTGTTATTTCAAATCCATTTCTGGCCAAATCGATGGCAGGTTGAACAAGGTGTTTCCATGGCAACCAGCCGTATCGTTTCCAGGCTTCGTGTTGACCGCGTACATCGCCAGGCACGGCAATCGACAGACCATCTAAGAAGAAGTTAAGTAGTCTTTGTAGCATTTGCTTAAATCAGTCTAGGTTTTAAAAAATTAAATGGTCATCTTTAGTCTAGGCAACCCAAAAATATTTCTTCAAATGCGAGTGAGATATTAGAAACTTAATTTAAGCGTCCGAATTAGTGTTACAAGGGCATTAATACAATGCAGTTCCAATTGCGGACACGCAAAATTAACAAACGAATAGCTACAGAATCCCAACAGGAGCAAGGCGGGTCAGTTGACTAGTCACAATAGTGTTGCCGACAAGTTGAACCCCGGGCTCTAGTGTGACCGCTGCAGAGGAGTTTGTTACGTCATTAGGAGTTGAATCCGGGATATCGAATCAGTCAAATCCAGTATTCACACCATTCTTCCATTCGGCCATTCTCACACCTTTATCTGAACCTCGTTATATTATTTCCTTGTTTTTTAAATAAAAAAGTCTTCGCTGAATGTAAAGCGGGAAAGAATACCTTTTTGGGCTTTCTTCTCGTTGCCCTTAAACATGTCCCTTTTTGCTAGTGCTGGAGCGGTTTCTCTGAAGTCGATAACACCGGCTTCCTGGAGGCATCTATTGTACACCAGCATTGCCCCATCTCCTCCTATCCCCGACGAATGCATGCTTATAACCCCCAAGCAGAACATGGCAGCGATGGCGGCATCCACGGCCGGGCCGTTGGCGTTGAGAATGTCCTTGCCGATTTGGGAGCACTGCGGTGTATCCGTGGCGGATGATGGATCGGATTTTTTTTTATCACAAAAAAATAGCCGGGAAGAACTACAGCCAACAAAACATTATATCGGTGATATATAGATACGTTAAGATTTAGGAAATAAGCCTTTAACAAACGTTCTTAGTTTTAGTAGAATATCGACAGGCCAACAATTAAACCTGTTGCAAAGTTAAAAGAATTATCTGGCGCTTACATAGATGCGCGTTACATTTAAAACAAGTGGTCACATGGCAACCCAAGAATTCAAACTAAAAGAATGTCTGATTTCAATTCTGGGCCACAGAAAGAAAACTTGTCAGTCAAGGTTTGTATTCTTATATGTTATGTTTCTTTCAGCACCTTCCTAAGTTTTGCTTCAGTAGATGTTATTTTATGACTGTGAGTGACATAATCTATAGAAATGATTTAAATTAAATTAATTCAATCACTTTTGATATCCTTGGGTCAATGGATGCATGTTTAAACTAGCCGGCGTGAGTGATATACAAAACATCACTGACCTGAGAGCTCTAGGTATGACATTTGAATAAAAAGCCGAGACGAAATTTCAATAAAAAGCCTATTGTAACGAAAGGAAATTAAAGTGCTAGTTCCTATAAGAGGGTAAATACTAAAACCACTTTAAACACAAACTAATGCACACAATTTTGAAATAGCCTCTGATCGTAAGAGTGGCATTAATTTAGTGAATTTGGCTGGATTTCAAATCCAGCATAACACCATAGCCTCATTAAAATTCAACTTCACCTGGAACTGACTGATTGAGCTCATTTAAATATTCTAAATATTATTGAGAATTAAAACGATGTTTTCGCTTTCAAGCGCGGAACTTTTCTCGGAAATCAACAATAGTACGTCATCAACAAGTCGGACATCCAAACGTGACCTACCTTTAAGTCATTGCTAGTCGTCACCTTCGGTTTGATTGCCATTCACATTTTCCTCAAAAGTCCTACATCAACTTTGGTATTGACAATGTTTAAAGCTATGAATGTAATGATCAAAAGAATCTCAATGTGTGAGCTGCCATGTGTAACGAACTACGGACGATGCCAGTCTTGATCAGTTAATTATCATAATTTCTCATGAACGTGCTCATGAGCGCAAATGAATACGACAGCGGAAACAAAGAGCTTTTACCGTTTCTCCATTGCTTCTTTCCCGGTTGAAACCATCGTGAATTGAATTGAGCTCGTCTTTGAGTGATAGTTATGTTTGAGGTCGCACGTTTTCCGGAAATATTGTTACAATTAAGCCCAAGCCCCTACCCCTGGGGATATATCTTGTCGCCCTTCTCTTTTGTTTTGTTTTCATTTAGTTTAAGCCGGCTTAACTGGCAATGAGAGCTGGCTGAAATCACAGTAACATATTCTGGGTGTTCTTAAGAGGTGATATGATAGAAATTGGAGAGGACTGGTTTTCAAATATTTCACTTCAAAAAATACTGCTTAGCAAAATGAAGCAGTCGTTTGTTATTTGTTTGGATTGAGATTTACACGCATGATTGACTCTTGACGAAGAGAGAGACAGCGAGGCTCTTGCGTAAGAGTTTCGCAATCCGTCACACTTTTACGATCAAAGGTCTTAGAAATCTCGGCGGCGAACAGGAACAAGTCATGCAGCATGTCTAATCTCTCGTGATTGGTCAATATTAACAGTCTGATAAATACGGTATTTTTATATCACAAGGCTCCATTGTTGGAGGTTGTTATTTTCATCTCGAAACCTATTTTGTCTTTCTGCCTTTAAACATGGATATACAAACCTTGTTAAGCAATCTTTATGAAGAAGTATCCTGTTCTGTGTGCATGACCACATTCACAGATCCAAAACAGCTGCCGTGTTTACACAGTTTTTGTCTTCACTGCTTGGAAGGAATTCTACGAACGAGTGGCCGCCATGATATCGTAACTTGCCCAGAATGTAGAAGAGAAAGTAGAGTCCCTGGAAGTGGAAACCTGAAGGACTTGCCGACCAACTTTCGCATTAACAGTTTGCTAGATGTGTTGGCAATTAAAGAGTGCAAGTCCACCGGAGTGAAATGTGGAAATTGCGACAAAAGAAGCGTACAAAGTTTGTACTGCTTCCAGTGTTGTGCATTCTGGTGTGACGAATGTATCACCGGGCACAACATAATCCGAGCTAATAAAGTACACCGTGTGTTGGCGATTAAAGATTTTGAAGATCAAGACATCGAGGAAGTGTTAAAACGTCCAGCATTTTGCCAATTGAAACACCATGAAAAAGAAGAGCTGAAGTTCTTTTGCCGGGACTGTGAAGTTGCCATTTGCAATTCCTGTGTTGCCATTCTTCACGAGGGTCATGCCAAAATACATTTGGAAGTAGCTGTCAATGAACGAAAGTCACAAGTGCAATCAGTGATTGAATCACAAAAGCAAAAAGCACAACAGAAGAGAAACAAAATCGCTGAACTTGACGAGAACTGCATTCATATTGAACAACAAGCCGCTGCCG